TATCCTACACTACGGACGCCCTAGTGTATGCACAGTCCTTGTGATGCCAGAAATGCTTACCCCTCTTTCCGGCACAAGGCATACATAAGCGGGGGATAAATTTAACCCCCAGATTTGCAATAACCATAAGCCGGCTATTTCCTCAAGACACTCTGTTCCATATACCTTTCACCCGTGCTTCTCCTACACTACGGACGCCCTAGTGTATGGACAGTCCGTGTGATGTCAGAAATGCTTACCCCTCTTTCCGACTCAAGGCGTACAAATGCGGGGGTTAAATTTAACCCCCAGATTTGCCGATCACGCATCTTCGTGCCTGCCAAAGAGTGCACCCGTGTTGTTCCAATGTACCCTTCCCAGTCGGCGATGTCACATTTACATTCTTTAGCGCAAAGTATGTACGTAGCAACCTTTCTCCCAAAACATGTAATCACTACATGCTTTGCCGACTATGTAACTAGTACATCCGGTGCGATTCGGCTAGCTTTCGACCTCCTCCCCCTGGCCTCAAGTGAACTTGCACGGTTGCAACATATTCCAATTGAGTGGTGCATGTTTGCTTTGCCGGTGTTCATGGACACGGAAGGCGCGGCTTCATTAAGTGACTACTTGACCAAGTTCCTTCCCAAGAAAAGTGGATAACTTGATAACAATGTAGAACCGTTGACCTGTTCTGGGGATCTGGTGGTTGCTTGGGCCTGTCTTAAGAAATGAGGCTGCGACTCTGCGACACTTCTCGTTTTGTGCGGTGTCAGTCCGACAGCACCCTTCCCTTCCGCATCGGGCTGTCCACTCGTCGGACACCATCGTGCTACCGAGCTGAATGGCGGTGACCCGGCCAGGTGGTCCATCATCTTCAGAGCCACCCATGCCACCGTCAGCCTCCGTCCCACTCTCTAGTCAGTCGCTCCGGAAGTCCGTCAGTCTTCTTTCTCTCTTGCATGCGCTCCACTTCTGAAGGGTGATGCAGCTGGGCTTCCCTTCCGCCCTAGGCGGTTGTCGAGCTCTTTCACTTGGGGATGCTCCAGTCCCGGATATCCTCAATGGCGGGTTCGCCGACGACACGCTAAACTTCTAAACCCCGCTGAATCGCGAAATACCCATGTCCTTCCTCTTTCTGTCCAGGGTCCCGCTTCTCCTTGGACTTGGCCCAAAAAGAGAGCCTAGTCTTCAAAGATCATTTCGTAAAAGAATGGTTGACCTGGTAGTGTGAAAAAATCCTCAGAAAAACAATAGTTCTGTGGTAATCACAGAAAAGTTGATGTGGATGATGCTTTTTGTGGCGGATTGAAAGGTTCAAAAGAACATAGAAACCCATGCAGAAAAATGCAGGAAACATCCCAAAGGTTAAACAGCAGAGTTTCAGTGGCCTCAAAGGTAAGATGCTTCCAGGTCAGGGCTCAGTCACTGCAGGCAGACACGTCAGAAATTGAAGAAAAAAGGTCCTCGTGGACCAACCGAGATTTCAAGACAAGCAGGAGTTTTTCTTTTTCCCCAGATAGCTGGAAGCTATAGGGGTTCTTACTTCTCAATGGATGGGTTCTGGATTGCGGAAATTGGCTGCCGCTGCCGCCTTGTTTTCCAAGCTTGTCTCCCTTCATGATTTCGCTTTTGGCTGCCGCTGCCTGCTTGTCTCCCAAGCTTGTCTCCCTTCATGACTTCGCTCTTGGCTGCCGCTGCCGGCTTGTCTCCCTTCATGATTTCGCTCTTGGCTGCCGCTGCTCCCTTCATGATTTCGCTTTTGGCTGCCGCTGTCGCCTTGTCTCCAAGCTTGTCTCCCTTCATGATTTCGCATGATTTCGCTTTTGGCTGCCGCTTCCGCCTTGTGTCGTGAAGCTTGTCTCCCTTCATGATTTCGCTCTTGGCTGCCGCTGCCAGCTTGTCTCCCAAGCTAGTCTCCCTTCCTGATTTCGCTCTTGGCTGCCGCTGCCGCCTTGTCTCCCAAGCTTGTCTCCCTTCATGATTTCGCTTTTGGCTGCAGCCCTAATAACTTCGCTCTTGGCTGCTGCTGCCGGCTTGTCTCTCAAGCTTGTCTCCCTTCATGATTTTGCTCTTGGCTGCCGCTGCCGCCGTGTTTCCCAAGCTTGTCTCTGTTCCTGATTTCGCTCTTGGCTGCCGCTGCCGCCTTGTCATTTTCTTGCCTGCCTTTGACGCGGATGCAGTTATAAGATGATTTAGGTCTTGTTTACCTTTTCCATCCTTTTCCCGGCTTTGAGTGGGATGTCTCCCAAGCTTGTCTCCCGCTCATGTCATGGTGTCCAACTTTTCTTGAAGTGCTATCTGGGGTCTATGCCGGTATAATTCTGTAGAGAAAGTGCCATGGGTGGACCTGCAAGCGACAATGTTAAAGGCTGCTTCTTCAAGGCACGGCCTGTGAAACTCCCAGCCCAGATGCTGCTAAGAAGATAAATGATCACGGGCTTAGTGCACGTATCAGACAACCTTAAGGGCCTGCAGGTCCACAAAAGAGCCGGTGTTGATCATGATTTTGTGCCAGCAGGTGGCACTTCCGCAGCTCCAAGTCGGCGGCATCGAGCGCTGCGGGTGTCGTCTCGGCAATGCGCTGTGCATGCTCTTGCTGCTGAAGGCAGTAGCCTCTACGTTCGCTATGAGGAGGAGGTGACTGCGAAAGCTTGCCGCTGCTGGCTGGACAGAGCCATCACCCCAAAGTCACAGATGAGCTGCCCCGTAGTGTTGGACCCTCTCGAGTCATTGTGGCTGTTGCCAGCCGCTGCGAACAGTTGTCCCCTGTGCTGGTGAGAGATGTGGAGAAGGTCAGGGATGACCAGACTTGTGCCATCCAAGCCAGGGCCAAAAGGATGCTGGACATGCTGGCTCTTCATGAGCAGGTGTTGGCAGCCCGTCAGCTATAGTGGTCCACCCTGACAACAGGAGTGGAGTGCTGGTGAACTCCTATAGATGTTCACTTGAAGGGCCAGGTGGCACTCAAAGTTGGCTGGTCAGCTGAAAAACTGACAGAAAGTTATTGCTTCGAGGTGAGCCCTAATGTGTTGGAGAAACAAAAGCAGCTGGCACCGATGCAGCTGCTGGTGGAAGCCTCAGAAGGAAGGTTAGCTGGACTCAGTGGGAAAGAGAGATACCTGAGTGTCAGCAGCAGTCACATGAGCCAATTTTGCAAAGCAACTTTGGCAGGGTGTGTTCTGTCAACCCTTTGCAATTTGCAGCAGTGCTCAGTGGCAGTGTTGAGTACTTTGCAGCCAACGTTTCGCCTGTGGGGATGAGCCAAACTGCATTGGCGAGCGTTTCTTTTGCTTTATAACCGGGACAGATGACAGGAGTGTCCAAAGTTCAAACCTTTCAATTGGAACTCAGGAATCAGGAGTGAATTTGTTGCCGGTCGCATGAATCACTGTGGATACTACTTTGGATCCATGAATGTGGCAACTCAATCCTAAAAAGTGCAATCAGTTCTGGTGAACTTGAAGGGTTTTCTGCATTGTGGATTGAAGAGCATGACCAACTTCTGTCCACTTGTTGATTAAATCCTGGTGCTTGCGGTGCCTAGGTCTTTTCGTGCCATGTTCTGTTTTCGATCATGTGCTATTCTCACGTGTTGTGTCCAAACAGAATGTCAGCATTATTGGTCACATAGATTGGCTTGGCACAGTTGGAAACTTCGGTTCACCGTTCTGTTCCACAAAGTTTCTGGGCTTAGGACTTCCGATACTTCCGAAGAGTTGCTTCTGCAGGAGCCAAGGAGGTCAGTGACTGGATGCGGTTGGGTCGATCACCCTGGCAGCCCCGTCCGGAGCCCCGGTTTGGCGCGCCGGCCGTGTGAAACGGTGCAGGGAAACCACGCGAGGGAGCAACCAGCTGCGTGTTTTGGGTGGCCGTGTTTTTTTAGATTCTTGAGTTGTTGAACCATGTTGAACAATTTGGAGGCTTGAGCACGAACATTTGGGGGGGCATGATTTGTGGTTTGCCACTGGGTGGTTGAGTTTGAAAATGCGTAAAAATCGAGTGGCATCATCAATCTGTTGGATCAAAACGTAACTCCAAAAAACAAAATAGACTGGTGCCGAAGTTCCGGAAGTAGAATAGAAGATCTATGAAGACCTATGTGGTTTGAGCCAGGGTTTTGCCACTTCTGGGTGGTGTTTTCAGATATTTCTGATGGTCAACCTTTCCGTCGGGTGTTGCATCCCACTGATATGTTTTTTCAAGCGAGTTGAAACGACCATCCTGAAATTCACCTTCAAATGCCATTCTGCAAAACACAGTTGGTTGACCTTGTTTTTGTAGTCGAAAACCGCGCGGGCCCTTCCACACGTGGTTTGCGGGGGGGTCCAGAATTTCCAGAGGGGATCCATGACGAAATCAATTCTGGGCCAGAAACCCTATGGAGCAGACGTTGTCCTTTCCCAGACCATCCATGTATGGAATAGTTACCTACGTGATTGGGCCATTTTCATGGGGTAACTGTAGGTAACGATTCCAGTCCCGTGGATGTGTTTGAGGTGGATGTCCCCAAACCCCGAACACGAACCTCGGAGCACGTGGGGCGAGTCTCGTTCGACCTCGGCACTTTGGACGTTGGGGGAATGGGAGTCGGACTTGGACTGTCGCTGTATGGCAAACAGCTTGTGTGGTTCTTCAATGCGGTTTTGGATGGCAAGTGGGAAGGCTCTTTGTTCAATGAGGATATCAGCAAGAATCGGCTCTCATCAAAAAGCAGTGGCCAGATTTCGCCCATTGAACTCTTTGCCTTCAAGCAGACTATCTTGGAGGAGCTTTTTGAAGAGCTGAAAGCAGAGGATTCAGCAATGCGGATGCATTCAAAGTGCAAGCCATTCATTCCAGCCATGCGAGTCTCCGCACAGAGATGTCACAGAAAGATTAGCCAGCTGTGGAAACATCCGCTTCCATGTTAGGACCTTCCCATGGCATCCCGTGGCATCCCGTGGCATCCGCTTCCATGGCGCTTCTCTCTCTCGATCAATGGACTTATGTACACTCCATGACTTCATCACTCCTCCGGATACTCCTATAGGATGGTTCCACCTCCCTGGTCATGGATGGTTAAACCATGTTAAACCTCTTTCCTCCGAATCAATATCTCAAGTCCACACCTTGCAGGCATCAAAACGAATTCCATCCACTTTCACTTTCACAGATTCCCAAGGACCCCTATGATAGGACCCCCCCTATGATAGGCCTATGGACCCCCCTAGGACCCCCCCTATGATAGGGCCTATGCTAGGCTACCCAAGGTGCCCCTTTTGGGGAAGTTTCCCCCACGGGTTGACCGACCCCAGCGAACCGAGGAAAGGATGCCAATTCGGTGGTGACCTACAAGACCAGCGCCACTCGCCTTGAAGATCAACTGGGAGAAGCCCAGTTGGGAAGTATACAGGCCCTATTATGCCCTATTATATACTATATAATCCTAGAACTATCTAGAACCCATTTGACCTTTGTTTTGATGTTTTAGGTGGTGTATGATCTAAAAAATGTGGTCACTCAAGTTCAGTGTTCTAGCAGTCGAGTGAAAGACTATATCGGCCCCAGCAGTGCAGATCCGAGAAGTTCCCGTTCGATCAGGTTACGTAGTCTCTTCGTCCTGCTCCATTCCCTACACCTCCAGTCGTATCTCCAGGTTCGGTATGACTGGACACGACGTTATCCCACCGAAACGAAACGAACGTACTTCCCAGACACTGCATGGGATTGCCATAGGACTGCCGATCAGATTGGGGTGGTGCCAGAGGGGTCAATGGGGTGGTATATATGGCAGTCCCAGACAGGTCGTGTCTGGGCTTGGAGCCCTAGGGATTATTGGCTGATCGTTGATTCACTCTGAGGGATTTGGGGATCGCTTTGTCCAGTCAAGAGACTCATCCGTCTCTGATGAGTGGATCGCAACGGGGGAACCCAAAAGGAGCTGCCCAGTCGATGCTACACAGTTACACACCTGGTAGGACATGCCTATGCCGAAAGAGAGATGTCAAAGGCACGGCATGAAATCTGCAGGTTCCAAAACCGACTTCAGCCTATCCAGGAGTTCAGTGAATCACCTGCAGATCACCTTTTCGATCCTTTTTGTTGGGGATTGGGAACACCTCATTCAAATTCATTAAACATGTAAGAGGCGGAGAGTTCTGTTCACCTCTCTTTTCCACAAAAACATGCTCCGGGGGCTACCAGAACACCTGGCTCTCGCGGCTCAGCTCGGCTTCATCGGCTAGGCGACGTCGAAGGCGACCAAGCGCTACCTGGTTCGCACCGATGTGCCTCAGGCGTGGCCTTGGGGTGTCGAGAAATCGCCGGAGAGAGGGCGGTGGTTGGACCCAATAGCGTTAGTTCGGTGCGGAGAAATGCTTGAAGGAAGGCTCTGAAGTAGTTCCAAAGGAAGGCCCTGAAGTCGCTGCAAGTCCGCATCCCGACATGGAGCTGGAAGTCTTATCCCTATCCATTTAGCATTTGCAGCTTGTGGAACTCACTACCCCACCGGCCTATGTGCATCTCTTTTTTGGCACCACTGGTTACCATGCTAGTAGTCACAGTGGTTTGCCTGCATCCACTAGGATTGGGTTGTACCTGCTAAACAAAACAACCTAAAACAACCACTGGCCAAAGACTCCGGATCTTCTCAAACCTGGTAACCCAGTCCCTACCAGAAACAGTTCTGGTTGTTTAAAGGATCTTGAGATCCTTTACATGACAAGTGTTTGGGACTGGGTTTCCAGGTAGGAGCTAGGGGCAGACTTTGAGCCATTCGGTACGGTGGATCATGTGGATCATATGGATGATGGGTGAAGTAGAATTTGAAGAACATGCACGGAAAAAGAGATGATAGGCATCCAATAATCGACGTGTGATTTCCCAATTGGCTTGGGGAAAAGAACAAGTACCTTGGATTCACTGAGTGCCGTCAATCCCGGGCCGGCCCTTAGTAGTGCTGTGAACGGAGAAGCTGTGTGGCCATGTTGGACCGGACCAAATCCATCTCTCGCGGCCATTGTAGCTTCTGAGCAAGAGATGATGTAAACGAACTCAGCTTGTGAATCGCAAGTTGCCACCTGTTGAGGGCGCCACTCCCGCACCACTCCGTTTCCCGCCCCACTCTGTCAGATCAACGGATCCGATGTCAGATCCGATCACCGAACGGTGCGCGTGGCAGAAGTCCAAGCTTTTGCCACATGGCACAGCCTATTAGAAGGCCGCAGAATGGTATATTATGATTATACAATTATAAATAGATATAAATAGATATACTGTGCATGTATGATATAAATCTATCATTGCTGATGATTGAAGGAGAAGTCAGTCCCACATCATTGTATCTTTACCGAACTTGTTGCATGTGCCGAACCTATGCACGCATGCAAATCACATGGTCCTGATCCGGCGATGGATGCTTCACCATGCGCCGCGTGCTTGCCCGTTGGGCACCGCACACGCCCCGCAAGCCCCGCTTTCGACCTACCAAGCAACGGGTTCCCTACCAGCCGGCCGTGGTCGAGCAAGCCGGCCTGGGAGCGGGCTCTACCAGCGTGGGCGCAGCTGGGATAGAAGCTGGCTTGGCTGAGGAGCTGGAGAGTGGATACATGTGGAGATGCTTAAACAGACACCAAGAAGATGAAAAGCTGGTGGTTTTGTTCTTTGACCTACCCAGAAAAAGGGATGAAAAGGGGATCAACGGTGGTCACCTTTCTGGGATTGTTGGGCAGGTGTCCGACTAGAAACCAACTTTGTATTCTATCCGTAGTGTTTCACTTTTTGGGGTGTCACATTTGTGAGCCTTTGGTCGGCTCCCTCACTGTCCTTGGGGTCCTCCCCTTCTTTTTGTGTCTTCTTTGGCATTCGATCCAGAGTGGTTGATGCTGGCGTTCACGTGATCGTTCGCGCGAGAGGTAGTGCAACAGGTGGAAAGTTGAGTGAGCCTTGACTTTTTTCCAGGGAAACTGAGCTAGTCAGTTTAAAGGAAGCATTTCAATGCGTTTCGTTTCATCCAACACCCTATGCCATCCACTCCCATCTTAGTGGATCAGAGTGTAGGCAGGATGGGTGAACATATGGTGAAATGTATTAATAGGCTATAGCCCAGAAAACCAATAACAGCCAGTAAATGAGTATCACTCTCTTAGAGAAAGGCCTACAACCAGGGGCCCTGGTCATGGGATCTACCCACCCTTACCATGTCTTGGGATGGCTTATGCTAGGCCCTGGAAGTCCCAAACTATTTTTAACATGGTCTAACTAGGTGACCCGAGTTCAGGAAGATCCTTAATTTACTTCAGACTTACAGTGACTTACAGTGGTGCAACATATCGTCGACCTGGACTTCTAGGTCCTAGGTACCATATTTGGAGACGTCAATGTGTCTATACCTGGATCTTCCATGAAGAATTCCAGTGTTGTCCTTCCAAAAATATGCCGGAAGGCAGACATTTTGCACAGTCAGAAGATCCAGGTATATGTACATGCCAGCACATCCAGTTGACCGGATAGTGTCTTTTTGTAGACAACTCTTGTAGAGCTCTTTTGTAGACCGGTCATCGTAGTCCTGGGCATCAATCAACTCCTTTCAGGGCAGCACGAAGCGGTGGTATGCCTTCAGAATTCGCTGGTTCCGCTCGTTTGTGAAAGCTTGCCAAGCATGAGACATGGCTGTGAGTTACAACCTCCTAAACATCGGTCGGTTGAGCATGTCCGGTCATCCTGTTTGGTGGGTTCAACCAGGGTCCCGGTGCCATGAGGGCACGAAGGCGACTTTGGTGCCGACCCGGTCTCGTTCGTCCCTCAGAAAATGGGTAGATCGATCTAGCGGACGCTGTTGTTAGGGTCAGGTCCCCATTTTCTAAGGTGCTATCTGCTTGAAGTCGGGTCCAGGTGCATACCAAGAACCTTTGAAAATCCATCGTCCCTGGCGTCTGGCGTCTTATCGCTGCTCCGCAGGACGACTTTGATTTCCACTACGTGGAGGCTCCTGAGCGGCCGCAGTCGCCAGCTTTGGTGGCCGAAGCAGCCAGACTGCAGAGCCAGATTTCCCACGCCAGGAGAGGTTTTTTTGAGACAAAAGCACACCAGGATGGTGGACCATAAGTCAGTGTTCCCAGACAATCCATGGAATATTTGCGTATACATTTGCATACTGCATACCTTCGATCGGTTGGCGGATGTTTGAAGGGCTTATAAGTACAAAGAGTCCGCTCCCATCCTGCGAAGGAATCCTCATCCAAGGAATCCTCATCAGACTGGATCCCTTCTAACTCAAAGGAACCAGTTTAACTCAATGCCAGCCCATCTTCAACCCCCCTTTCCTCAGCCACCATGAACACCCCCCAGGAGCGTCGGCCATCTCGCTGAAGCTTGGCCCAATCCCCGGGTGCGCCGTGCGGCGCCGGGAGCCATGACCGATGGGATGGAGGGGATCAAAGCCGGTTCATCCATGGGACTTGGGATAGTAACACTCCCTGGTCATCTTCTAAGCCCTAGGGATCCACATACCTTCTCAGGTACTTGGGCCCTCCTGGCGCCTACATAAGTAGTCTCCAATCACAGAGAAGGTACTTGGATCCCTAGGGAAGGTTCTTTGGAGGGTCCAGGTACCTTTTCCGTTCGGTACCCGAAGAAGATTGGAAGGTGCACCATGGGACGACGTCTTCGTTTGAGGTTCGGATCAAGACTTGGTTCACTTGGAGACGGGTCAAAACCGCCCCAAGCCATGTAGCGAACGACCGACACCAGGTAGGTCAATCGGTCCGTCTCCTGGGGCGACGTCGTGGCCAGAGCATGGGGAGTGACAGAGCATGGCCAGGTGCACAAAGCATTCTTGGAAGTGAGGAGTGGGAATTGACATGATTTCTGTGTTTCAGGAAATCCTCAGCAGCCATGAAGACCAATTGGACGCACTCCATGCGGCCTCAGCCTTCCATCGCCTGGCACGCTTGGGTCAGCTCACTACTCATCCCACCCTTCTGGAGCTGTGGCAAGCCGGCAGCTGGAGGGGTCAAGTGTCAAGGGTATCCAATTTACTGTAGACCTCATCCCTGTAGTCACGTGTGAAAAGACCTTCCAATTGATTCACAAATGCTCAAGATATGTTAAGTCCTACATTCAGACGTCATCAGCTGGCTTTTTGTTTTCTTCTTGGAAAAGGGGGCGGTATACTCATGAGAACCTGAACCCTGAGGGACTAGTTCGGTCATGCACGGTGCACCCCTGTTTGGACCGTAGGGATGTGTGGGGACTGTCTTTTCTGCATCAGAAGTTGTGGAGAAGGAAGGATTCATGCAGAATACATGATCGATCTTATCTCTGGCCAGTTCTCGGCAGCGGTTTGGAAGATGCTTGATTTGTCCATCGAAGTCTATATAGTTCTTTCGACTCTTCGGACTTGTTACTTGACTGATATGTGTTTTGCGCCCCAATGCTTTGAATCACCAACCAGTCAGCAGGCACAGATTGTGCCCTGAGTTTCCAGGTTGAGCAAGCGCTTGGCAGAACCCGAGGCCCTTCACTTGGGTGTAGCTGGGCGAAAAAGCTGCCTCGCCGTTCGCGAGCCTTTCTGATTGGTGCGGAAATGGCCTACCCAACACTGCGAAAGCTTTTTGGGGGGACATTTGGGGACACCACAATCCGACGGGTGGAACGTTCCGGTCCTAAAAACAAGTTGATGATGTGCTGGGGCAGTAAGGTCACAGAAAACAAGGCTCTTTCCAAAAGGGAGCAGGGCGGATCAGGGAGTTGGGGGGTTAAGGTCCTTGTGTAGCCTTTGGTGGTGGCTTGTTCAAGCCTCAGATTTACCAGACTTGCCCCGAAACATTGCTTTTTGAAAAGCGCGAGTGTCCGGTCCGCATGTCTCTCAAAGACTCCCAAGCTGATTTCGTGCAGGTTTGTCTTAAACAGTTGCTGTTTGAAGCACTTGCTGTGCCAAAGCCGGCTTCCAGGACCTCCACTGGAGTTCAGAGGTGGTTATGTTGGACCCTACGCGAGTGGATGTGACAGGGGCACCTTTGTCCTCCATCCTCCATGAAGCATCCCAACATGGTCCTTTCTGCGGAATGGATTTCGATCAAACCCGTGGGTGAAGAGAGGTGAAGAGCAGGATTTCCTCTCGCACCAAAATAGAATCAACCAATTTTTCCGTACCTCGATCCAGTCGTACCGAAGATCAAGTTCGGTATGACTGAACCCGACGTTTTGGCACCCACCCGGGCCCGCAGTCCCACCTTCTCAGGTTCGGTACGAGTTAAGACCTAGGGGGATGGACCCCAACTGATGGACCTCTTTT